GTGGATGTCTCAATGCAGTACAGCCACACCTCGTTACTATTGTGCATCTTATCAACTATAAAAGGAACTCCATAAAGCTCCTGAAATGCAATAACAATATTATATTACTTTTGCTCATAATCATTTGACTGCAGTGTATATGGGGACATACTGCAGGATGGTATCAAGTCTGGATCTGGACCTGTCCTAAACAAAGTATAGCTGCAAGGCTGTTGCTGAGTTTTTAGTATTCAACTAGTTTTTAGTATTTAACTATTCATTCGGTAGGTTATGAGTCAACATAAAGAGGTTTGCCCCTCCCCCCCCCCTCCCCCCCACCAAAACATGAGGGTACATACCCTACGGTTTACAAACGGGCTGAGGTACCCGTATACCACCTCCGGAGAAAGCCGGGGATAAAATCGTGAAGTATAAACAACATAAACATGATGCTACAGCTGAGCATCTTCTAGGAAGCGCGAGATTCCTAACCTCTGCTGATCTTATAAAACGTAAAAGGTTAGAGTATCGCCCGAAGAATGAATTATTTTCAAAGTCATAATCGATACGTACACGATAGTAGCCTCCCCAGACCACTAAATAGCCGTCATAATGAACCGCGACATGGCCCATTCTCTTCTCTGGTTTCCTCCCATTTATGGACGGGAATACAAATGTCATTTTCTTGGAGGAGAGTGCATAAAAACACCTTAGCTAGGGCGCTTTCCATTCAACAAAAATTCCGGTTTGAAATTTCGGAAATTTCGCCTGCTCAATGGAACGGTACATTCCGGTTGTACAGACCCGACCCAAGCCACTGCGCGTTTTGTTATTGTGGCTCGCAGTTGGTGGGGGGCCCCACGACTTAGCGAAATTTTCGTATATCTATGATCCACCGATTTATGACATCGCATCCGGTTGCACAGTCGCGCGAGGCACAAAGATGGACGCCCGATTGACGAGCGACTATAAAATACAGGAATGGCTCCGACCTGTAATTGGAGGATAAAAATAGTTAGTAATTAATAAGTTAAAGCTTAACTTTCAGCCACGCGTCACACTGGACAACGATATCACTAACGTCGTTGTGATGTGTGACTTCTGTTTCGTCTTACGCAGTGAAAGAAGCAAGAAGTCGATGTATGAACCTTAAAATTTCACTTATATCGGCAGAACCTTTTAGTCCGGTGGCTTAGTGCAAAATTTTGACGAGATCTATACAGAGCGGACAAAAGCACCAAACTTTGCGTGGCTGTAGCTTAGGGCATGTTAGTCAATATTAGGATCGGTGCCTACAGCTATCTCTTCAGGATTTGAAGCAACTGCTCACTGAAGTTCTTCGACAACCTTCCATGATGGGTGCCCTGTGCTGAAAATTGCAATCCTTTTTTTTGGCCATTTTTTGATGAAAATCACATAAAAAGGGAAGTAGGTGGAAAACGAAACTGCATTAATACTATTATTATTGAAACCAATGACTAAAACAAGTCAACTTTATGATATAGCAGTTATGATGTACCATAGTGGGTGCCCTGTGCTAAAAAATATCAATTCCTTGATTTTTGCCATTATTTTGATGAAAATAACATGAAGGACATGAAAATAAAAAAGAAATTGTATTATTATTGAAACCAATGAAAAAAACATGCCAACTAAAGGGAAAATCCAAGGAAGATGTTTTCAGACGCGTACTCAGTCCCAAATAGGCTTTCAAGGTGGCGGCTGTGTCTTTTCATGGACTGTAAGTATCTACTGGAATAAATTGCCGTTTTTTAGGGGAAATTGTGTACAATTTTAATCACGACAGGTTTAAGTGAATTTTAAGTTTTTCTTGGTGATAAATTTGTTATCGAAAGCCACATTTTCTCTTAACATTTTGTGCCGATTATGAATGACTACACTGAGTTTATTTTCGTACTGGTTAAAATTAATAATAGTAAAATTAGCTTCTTTCTATAGCGCTCATATCCTGAGCACATGGTGCTTTACAATGTTAAAGAGGAAAAAAAATTATATCTCGAGCATGAAATAACATATATGGAAATCTATTTGCAATTCCCAAAGAACAAGAGAAGGAAACAAGAATTCATCTGTTTTAAAATTATTTTGGCTTTAAAGTTTACATATAATGATAATAAGTCATGCAAAAAACTAAATATACATTCTACAAGTATAGGTATATGATCTGCAGATATTAAAGACGTTTTACAAAAGTATTGACTTACTCTCTAAAAATTGCGTAAAAAGATATGTTCTCAGTCCTTTCTTTCAACTTGCTAAAGATGGTGACTTGCGCAAATCTAGCTAATGGTAGTGAGTTCCCGCAGTTTAGGGGGGCACACTGAAAAAGTCTTTTCCCCGTGAGTTTTCGAGGTTGTTCTCAGAGCTGCTGAGATGAGGACCACAAGTTCCTGGAAGGCCTTCGATAACTGTCCGCTAGATAGCTAGGCCTAGGTGGAAGGTTATTAAGTGATATGGAAACTGACAAAATAAGTTTAAAAACAACATGATAACTAACAGGAAGCCAGTGAAGGTCAAATAAATGATGTGTTCGCAAAGTTTACGAGTCCGAGTAACGATCCTGGGGGCAGTGTTCTGAACGTATTATTAAAAGTTCCTTCAAGTGCATTTTCCTACAACCATAGAGCAAGGAATTTCAATTAATAGTCTGTTTAAGATGTAATAAAAGCATGCACTGCAATTTCGCTAGACTCCTGTGTGAGACACTTTCTAATCTTTGATAAGTTCTTGAGTTGGTGAAACGATGATCTGCAAAAGAATGCTGAGACGTGTGCGTCAAACAGCACGTTGTCATCAAATACTACTCCCAGGCTTTGTTGGTGGTGGTTCTTAGCCTTGCATTACCCATAATGACGTCGCTAAAGGGTGGACGAGTACGGTACATCGACAAGATAAGCGTGATTTCAGTCTTATCATCATTGAGTTTAAACTCGTTTCTACACACCAAGATGGAAATCAGTTGGGATCGTTGTCATATTTACCTAGGGTGAGAATCGAAAAGAGAGGATCTGAGAAACCCATCAACTTAACGGAACAATTATTTTTGGAACGCTCCTTGACAATTTACTAGAATTCAAGAAAGGGGACCCTGCCGTCTTGTTGCAATTAAGCTTCATATTGAAATCACTACAGTAGTAAACACGTTACTGAAGTGCAAAGTGGCATCAATGCTTGTACCGTTAAACCAGTGGGCTTCTCAAATCTTCTTTTGTTGATTCTTGGCAAATATAACAACGATCCCAGTTAATATCCATCCTGGTGTGTAGGAAACATCTCAGCTTCAGAAACCTTTAACTAACCAGTAAGTTAATAAACTCAGTATAGTCATTCATAATCGGCACAAAATATGAAGCGAAAATGTGGCTTTCGATAACTAATTTGTCGCCAAGAAGAGCTTAAAACTTCACTTAAACCTGTCGTGATTCAAATTGTGCACAATTTCCCCTAAAAAACGGCAGTTTATTCTAGTAGATACTTACAGTCCATGAAAAGACACCTTCAAGCCACCATCTTGAAAGGCTATTTGAGACTGAGTACGCGTCTGAAAACATCTTCCTTGGATTTTCCCTTTAGTTGACTTGTTTTTGTCATTGGTTTCAATAATAATACAATTTCTTTTTTTATTTTCTTGTCTTTCATCTGATTTTCATCAAAATAATGGCAAAAATCAAGGAATTGATATTTATAGCACAGGATACCCACCATGGTATATTATAATTGCTATATCATTAAGTTGACTTGTTTTAGTCATTGGTTTCAATAATAATAGTATTAATGCAGTTTCGTTTTCCACCTACTTCCCTTTTTATGTGATTTTCATCAAAAAATGGCAAAAAACAAGTGATTGCAATTTTCAGCACAGGGCACCCATCATGGAAGGTTGTTGAAGAACTTCAGCGAGCAGTTGCTGCAAATTCTGAAGAAGTAGCTGTGGGCACCGATCCTAATATTGACTAACATGCCCTAAGCTACAACCATGCAAAGTTCGGTGCTTTTGTCCGCTCTGTATAGATCCGAACCTTTAGCCACCTGACTATTTTTCTAGTGTTAAACAGTACCAACAGAGATGGGAAATTGTCACAGCGTTGGCGAACAGCGTTCAGTTTGAACTCAAACACTCGGAGCTATTCCTGTATTTAAACCGCTGACGGGTCAATGTACAGGAATGGCTCCGATCTGCATCATAAAGAAAGACTTGTCTCATGATGGTGTGTGGTGTGGGAGGGGGGAGGGGGGGGTTCTGGTGGGGTTTGGGCGATCATGACCAGATGATATAAATAACAAAACCAAAGAGTTTCACCGAAAAAAAAAAATTCAAAATCAACTCAAATTAAAAAGTCGATAAAGGGATCATTACTGATTACTATTCTGACTGTCGCTAGTGATCAGCAATACGGGGTTGTTTTTAAATGATGTTTTAAAGTTTTTGTACCGGGTTGTTTTTCATCCAACAAAACTTGAAACATTCTATCAAAATGACGAAGTGAAAATCAAAACGTTTAAAACAAAAACGGAAACGTAAAAAATAAAAACCGAAAAGTGAAAAATAAAAACGAAATCATTATGTGGCCCCCCTGGGCTTCCAAGCCCAGAAGGGCCACAAAATGCAAAATGACGAAGTGAAAATTAAAACGTTAAAAACAAAATCGGAAAAGGACAAAATAAAAACCAAAACCAAAACCGAAAAACAAAATGACGAAGTGAAAATCAAAACATTGAAAACAAAAACGGAAAAGTAAAAAATGAAAACCGAAACGTAAAAAATAAAAACCGAAAAGTGAAAAATAAACACGAAATCGCTATGTGGCCCTTCTGGGCTTCCGTACATATCCAAGTTCAGAAAGCGAATAAAATTTCGTCGTTGCTTGTTTACCATGTTTACGTTCTCCATAAAACGCGAAATTAGACATTTTTACGTAGTATCCGTGCAGCGACGGCAAACAAATGTGCAAAAAGGTTTGCTCTCGCTGCGGTCACGTCGTTGGATCTTGAAGTCTCTACTGACTTTTAACGACGCACGCTCAGAACAAGACAAATATGTGAGTTTAACTACCTTCTTTGTCTGGGGAATCAACGTAAAAGGTGTTTCTAGTGCTTATAGAACTCAGATTGAAGGTCATCGCCGCGCTTTAATACACTAACCACTTCCTTACATGGGTTAAGGCTATCCATTTGTTGGTAAAATTGGTAATGAAAAGGAAGCCTATATAGAAGCCGGGAGCTTATGAACTACAGGCTGCGTCATGCTTGCGTCGCTAATGTAATCTAGACCAACTATCACCTATCTTGCGAACAAAATCTTGAGGGCGGGGGCTAGGGAGGTTAAACGCTGCACCAGGGCTTCTCCGAAAGCTTGCTGGCGATATAGGTTTGGTTAGACCAAAAAGAACATGAGTTCCCAAACACTTAACAATATGACAATATACAATGACGAAATATTTATAATTTTAATTACTTTTCTGTTGATATGTACAATTCCGTACCTTTAATTTACTATCTTACATAACTAACCATTATTTACAATTTCGACAGTGGTAAATTTGAAGGGCATTAACATGTATTGTACTCTTACACAATACTTACATCTAAAAAAGAAACAAATAGAACATTACTGTGGAGTCCGAACATTAACAGGAGTAAAACGCAATGCTTCTCAATTTCAGAAAGACGGAGTTAGGTAATTTCACAGCTTTGACCACGGACACAATGTTGACTTATCCTTACAAGGACACTTTTCTTTGGGACCCAAGTTAACCTTTTTACAGTCATTTATGGCATACCTCAGACGCTATTGACAGTCAAGAAACAAAATTGAAGGGACTCGGATTGTGACGAGGAGCTAGTAGAGATGATCATATCTTGCCAAGAGCTTTCAATCCACGGACACAATGTTGACTTGTCCTTAAAAAAATAAACCAAAGATACTTCTCTCTGGGACCCAAGTTACTAGATTGAATGGGCTCGGATTGTGATGAAGAGCTAGTAGAGATGATCATATCTTGCCAAGAGCTTTCAATCTTCTGTGAAGGAATAGTGACGCCAGGAGATTTTTAGGAAGTGACTTGAGTTGCTTGGATATTGTGGAGTAGTACTTGTTGACAATGGCATCAGCACACAACCTGCAGGAAAAATTGTCTTCCTGTAAGTTACATGTTAAGTAAATTCAGGATTTAAGTCTGTCTGAATAAATGTAAAACCGCCTGCCTCTTAGTCCTCCGTCCCTTTATGCTTTACCCTCGCACAAAATCGTTGTGCGTTATAAAATTTAGCTAAGGTGTAGATCGCAAGCATTTTCTTTTTCTCTTTAGATAGTGGAGCGATCGCGAATTAAACCGACGATTTCGCTTGCATGTGTGGCTGTGAGAAAAGGAGGACGCCTTTGCGTTGTCTTCTCGTTGTCAGGTGATAGCTCCATTCCCTCCCCTCCCCTTCCCTTGCTGGAAATATTCCCAACTGATAGTTTTCTACCGACTTAAACAAATAACTGACAGCCACAATAATACAAGACAAAATATTGTTCTGCACTTATGTGGACCTTTGGTAACTACAACTGCCAATAGAAACAAGGACATGAAACTAATTAAAGCTTTAACCTTTAATCCTTTTACATAAAGCAACAAATACAACGCTGCTCGTCTATCACACTCATTACCGTCCTCTGAACTACTTTTCTATAAAGCACATGTTTTTTTTACATATATTATATAAGCATCTTCTTACCAATTCAGGCGCGGAGGTGTGAATCTAAAAATCAGAATACTGGCGGTGTGATTCTAAAGAAGAGAGAACACATAGTGTTAAAACTTTCCATTGACCACTCAGTGAAGTAGATTGCCTGGATTAACTGGGGCGGACAGTAACAGGGTCAACTTTGATAAAAAAAAAAAAACAGAAAAGAAACATAATAAACATAACATTACTCCTCTAAAGAATCTGTAAGTATATAATGTGGAGTTGAGAATGCACCGCTGTCAGAAGGCGACGCCCTGGTACAGTGATTTTATGCCCCCGATGTTAGTCCGAGAAAGAAATATCCAACTTCGTTTTGTAAAATTCTAAAAAGCAAACGGTACTGACAAAACTCTCAGGAAGGTTTTTTCAATGGTCACATCATAGAATGGACATTAACGCTAGATCTACAATTTAAGTCCACCACATAATTCATGACGTGTTGGAAAGTTCAAGTGTTAGACACCACAGATAGGGTATGGGATCACCACTTCTAGTAAAGTTAAGTGACATTACCGGGTCATCGTCTAATACAGATGAAGTACAGCCTCCAAAAATTACAACTTCGCCAGGAAGAGATGTACAACAGGCTGTGTGCCACATCCGGGTCATTGGTGAGCTGATAAATAAAACATGAATGTTATGGGAAATATGCCGACAGGAGTCATGATCGAGGTAGCCCGATTATGGCCGATTATACCCCGATTATGGCTCCTGGTGCCGAACTATTTTTAGACCTGACCAAAATTTTCTTTCATTTGCAGACAGAGAGAAAGATCATACTGCTTAAATAATATTTAAATTTCCGAAATGAATCACAATATTCGAAATTATTCAATTTGTTGGGGTTCTTTTTCAACTGCTTCGGTATTTTATCATCCTGGCCCCAAGGGTCCGTTCTCTACATACCTAAGATTATTCACGGTTCAAATTAACTTACACTCTTAGCTTGTACGACAGGTTTATTTACCTTGGATTTGAAGGGACTGTCAACTGGAACCAAGTCATAGTTGAGGTGTCTAAAATGTAAGCATCACCTGAACACAACAAAATATAACTAAACTGAAACATCAGCTGTTACGGGATACCTTAAATAACATAGACAACGGTTCGCATGGTGTCTAAACTACGATTATTCTATCATACTTCCACTAAAATGTAAGCATCACCTGAACACAACAAAATATAACTAAACTGAAACATCAGCTGTTACGGGATACCTTAAATAACATAGACAACGGTTCGCATGGTGTCTAAACTACGATTATTCTATCATACTTCCTCAAAATTACTGGTGAGCCACAAGACTGTTCGCGATCTATATTCAGAAAATTCACCAACACAGCTTCTTTCTCATGAACTGCGGTCGTCTCGCCCGAAAGTCGATTCGCCTGATAGCATTTCGCCCGGATTCGCGCGATGACATACAACACTCTACAACACAGTGAACATAATTATAAGTCAGAGATTTCAGAGATTTTGAAAGATTGTACGATCCTAGATAGAATGTATGAATTTGATCGGTATAACGATCTTTGAGATATTTTGTGTTCAGTTTTTCTCCGAAAAAGGCGTCGTCAAACATGTGCAGTCACTGCCCGTGTCTTTTCATGCTTTTTTCTTTCAGGTATAGAAATCCTCTTCACCGGTACTCTTGAAAACGGACAGCGACTACCTTAAAAAACCCTGCAGGTATAAAGCAGCAACTTTCTTGGATAGTTGAGGTTAGCCTACAGAACAGGCGTTACTTTCTTTTCGGGGATGTCAATCGAGAAATGGATTTTTGTAATCTTTGACCTCTCTTTTTGAACTTAAGTGCTTAAAAGCTAGAATACTGTTGGACAACAAAACGGTCTTAAAATCGTACTTCAAGGTGCGAGGCATGAGATTCTCGAGCAAAACGCGCGAGCCTCAAAGCCCAGACCTTTTGTTAGACTGCCCGCGCGTTCTTGACAACTCACAACTATAGGACTATTTTGCACTTTCCACACTACTACATACCTAGTGCGTCTTGATCATTGTTGAAACCTCCATAAAGAAACAAATGTTTGTCGCTTGCTGGAGATAGAGAATGCCATGTTCTACCTTGAGGAACATTTCCCGTAGTAGAGATACTAAGGAAAGCACGTAATGAAATCAAGTTAGTAAGGAACTTCTTCAAATCAAACATGCATCAAAGAGTCTACTACGCAACAACACTGAGGCACTGAATGTGGAATTTTTCGATATCTAAAAAATCTACTGAAATCACCTGCCACTCCATTCCAACGTGTCCATGTTGAGAGAATGCAAGTCATTCCGCCGTCTTTCCTAAAAACATTGTTTCATATTTTAAGATTAGACTGTAGCACCTGTACTTATTGCAGAATCAAGGGCGGATCCAGGATTTTTTTTAGGAGGGGGTGCACTCTTCTCTTGCTCTACTTCAACACCAATAAACCACAGAGTTTGTTTTTGGCAGAATACCAGTTGTATTAGAAAACCGCAGGTCATCTCGGGGGGGGGGGGTGGGCACCCCCTGCACCCTCCCCCTAGATCTGCCCCTGAGAATAATTTTCACTATTCTTTTTAGAGCATCCAATCATCAAATTGTAGGCAAAGAGAATTAAACTGAATTGGCTTTTTAAGGTTTTATATATGAATTCAAATTTTGCACTGGGTTATCTTAATATAGCTTTGAATAACCCAAACACAGGAAATAGCTTCAATAACTAATTATAGTCTTAAAGAAATAAACTGGACCGTTTTTTGTAATTCAATTGACGCGGAGGCACATTTTAGCTTTTTAATAGATAGCAAATAGTGTAATAAATCTTTGTCGAAGATTATGGTAGTGTAGATAGATAGATAAATAACCTTTATTTCAACATTGAGATTAAAGAGTAGCATTGCTGCTATTAAGTATCTCTGAATGAAAAGAAACAAAATATATTAATAAAACAATCGAGTACAATAGATGATAATATTAAAAATAATTTTGACCACATAACTATTTACAACAATGTACATCAATTAAAAAATAAACAACAAATTGTATTACAATAACTTATAGTGTCATCTAAGAATGGTATAAAACTACGTATATTCCTAGCAGTTCTAGCATTGTCAGGTAGTAAATTCCAGTGATTCGTTGTGAAATAAGTAAAGGAATTTAGACCATGTGTACACGTCCTCAGTTTCAGAAGAACAAGTTTCGTTTTACTATATTATTATTTATTACCATACCATATGTCTTCCTCCAAAGAGATAGGCCATATTTGCAATTTGAGCAGATGCCTGGGCTGCTCTTGGAGATGGTGGTCTGCCCTAAAGACACGAAAAAAAGTAGTTGTAACAGGAAAGTCAATTTGTAACTTTGTATTGTAGCTTTTTGAATTGAATCAGCAGCCAAACTGTTAAAACCTTGTTCCAGTCTGTGGAAAGCTTCCATGATAGAACTTGGTCAAATAAGGCCTATCCATCCAATACCTTTTGCACTTACTTTTACAGTATTTTGAATTTTCAGTTGACAAATGAAATAATTCTACCCCAGGGTTGTCAAAAGTAGCCGGCTGCTGGCAAAAATCGCCACCTACTTGGTTAGTGTTGGCTGGCTACTCTGCTTAGCATTTCTTTACGGATGGCATTTCTTAAATAAAATATTCCCGGACTGGCCGCTTACTTTGACAACTCAGCTGTCTACTTCAAAACTTTCTGACAACCCTGCTACCCCTTTTAATTTAAGTGGAATGGAGCATTTCTACAAGGAGGGCTTCAATGTGATCAAGGCTTCTAAAAAGGAAACACTCTATATTTAACTATCCCCAAACTCCCAACCTCCCAAGAAGGGGAGGGGTGTGCGGTGGATTTATTTGTGTTAATTGTAGTTTCAAATGAAATATTTCAGACTTGAATGATTTGTGCCTAGTTTGATTCTCACCTTCTTTGTCACTTATGATTATAAATGACATCATCAAATTCTTTTGTCTCCTGAACTTTATGAATGCTAATGATAATTAGGGCTAAGAGACAAGGAGAATCAAACAAAGTTGAAACACTCTGAACCTGAATTTCAGTTTGAACAACTACATTTGTAACACACCTTTGTTTTTGGTTGGATCCATGTTAGACTACTTGTATCCAATACAAACAAGTGGCTGTTCCATCCTCTGTTATCCTGTTGTTAAGTTAGATTGTGATTAATGCTTAATTCGTCCTAAGTGAAGCTGATTGGGTGCCCAAGAGTCTTTAACAACTGAATCGCTAAATTCTAAAATGGATCATCCCCAGAACTAGTTGTCTACCATGCCCAGGATCATCCCCAGAACTACTTGTCCTATCTTAAACCCATCCAGGCCCCTCTCCCACACTAGCCTTCAGGGTGCCAACCACATTTAAGATATAGTTACAGAAGAACCTTGATTTAAGGAAGTGCCAAGGGACCGGGAAAATTTGTTTATTATGTTGAGGGTTCATTACATCAAAAGCCTCAATTAATTAAATTTTGAAAAAAAAAACAACACAAGCAAATTGTCTTTTTTTTTTCCAATGCCCAGCATTTCCAGATCTGACCAATTTCTGTAATAAACATTTGTATAAAAATCTATTATCTCAGTTCAGAGCTTTACATAACTATGGCTCTAGAAACACAAGAACAGGCAAACAAAACTGCTTAAAACTGCTGTACACAAAATTTTTATCCTTGTATTGGTCTGTTTCGCATATTCCTCTTTAGCTATCCTTCGGTCACATGTTGACATTTATTCCTTATACGAGGTATATTTTATGTTTGTGTTACTGGATTGTGCTCGTAATAACGAGGATTTCATTAAATTGAGGTTTGTTATATTGAGGCTCTGTTCCATGCATTTGTAATTTTGGCTAGGCTGAAGAAAATCAATCGTTATACCGAGGACATCTTTATAATATAACAGTTCATTAAATCGAGGTTCCACTGTAATCAGTGAAAATAATATAATTATTACACACACAAAAATTATAACACAGCAATAAATGAGATAAGTCAGTCAGAAATTACCAGGGTCAACAAAACTTGGAATGGATCAACCCTATTAACCATATTCCTAACTGCTATCACTTAGTAGCTTCCAAGAGGCTTATCTCACCCAGGTTTTGTTGAAACCTTAAGAATACTATAATTTTTAACTTACTGTAAATTGCTCCTCACCACTGGAATTAAAAGTGAAATATCCATTAGACTGGTCTACTCTCTCAGGGTCTGGAGCCAAGCCATATCCTCCAAAATATAGAATCCTAAGGTGAAATTTAGTTGAAAATAATACCATGATTCTATTCCATTTGACATTTAGTGCTTTTTATACTCTTCATCTCCAGGAACCTATTTATATTATTATTGATCAATACCAATGCTCACAGAGAGATTATGGTAGTGTTATATCCAGCTGATATGGCCAACAGGCTCATCAAGGCACAGTCCTCCACTATGATAAAGAACAGCACATTGGGGTAAAGGGGGGGGGGGGGGGGGGGGGGGGAACCCAGGGTTTAAAATTGGTTAAGGTAAAGGTTTCAATTTAAAAACTGGTTTTAATTCTCTTGAAATTTTTTTTTAACAATTATGAGTTACAAAACTCACGGTTTAGGCCTTGAAAAAATTTTATAAAAGAATATAACAAAAATCACACTTCAATGACACCAATTTTAGAGAAAGGGAGGGTGAGGGGGGGAGGGGGGGGGGGGGGGGGAGGGTGGAACCATGGTTATAAAGTTGTGTAAGTTAACGTATTCATATATAAACTCGATTTTAATTCACTTGAACTTATTTGTAGCAATTATGAACGATCAACACCACGATATTAGGACTTGAACAATATTATTAAAGAAGCTATAACAAATATCACTCTCAGCTGACACAGTGTTTAATTCAATATTCAGCTTGTTATCTTGATGACAAGGCATCTTCTCAGTGCCTGGATATTGGATGAAAAAACTGCATCTTGTATTTGAAATGAACCGTGTCTCAGTACAGTCAGAATTACAGTAACTGTTCATTCGCTACAACTTACAAATCATTGTGAGTCCAACAGCACAGTTTGTCCCTTGGTGAAGGAGGGTTTCCCTGGATCCTACTTGTCAGATTTTCCCAGACAAATGTTTTTAAATCTAATACAAAAACCTTAGACAGAAAGAAAATGACATGAAAAATTGATATTAATTGCCACCTGAATTATTTGAGTTGTCAGGGAGGACACAAAAGCTTATGTGAAGTTTGTATAGACCTTGTCACAGTTTTCGATGCCATCTTGACGAGTAGGCAAAAGCGTGAGAAATTACAGTGTTTCTATGAGAATCTAATGTCGAATAATTTCCATAAAACGGCTGTTCTGAAAAAAATATCAATTGTAAACTAAAGCTACAAAGCAAAGGATTGTCGTAAAAAATTTTGGGGGCGTACCTGTGCTTAAATTTCTCCAGAGGCTTGCTTTAGATTTTCCATATATTTGTCTGTAATTTTCCCGGGCCTTTCTTACAGACAAATGTATAGAAAATTTTAAAAAGTGGCTCTATGTCTTCTAGAGCATGTAATGCCCTCAAATTTTTTCAGGAGAATCCTTAGGAGTAAAGCTTTAGTTTACAAATCATATTTTTTTCAGAACAGCTGTTGTACAGAAATTATGCGACATTAGATTCTCATACAAACACTGTAATTTCTCACACATTTGCCTACTCGTCAAGATGGCGTCGAAAACCGTGACAAGGTCTATTCTGCAAAACAAGAACTGTATTCAGGGTGTTCATTATAAGCATTGGAGATCGGGGAATTCTCTGTTTACTACACAGAATTCCCCAGCTAACGTTCAGTAGCCTACGACCATTTTTTATTCAGACATGGAGCCTCTTTCCAATATTCTCCTGTAATGTTACACCTTCTCCTGCCACTAGAATTCTTAATGAAAACTGTGTTTTGAGGCAGAGTTACCAACATACAGTGGAGGTTGGTCCCCCGTCACAATGTCCAGCAAAGATAAACATTGATTTTCCTTCCATTACACATGCAGATGATCCTGACATAGGAGGTGGCTCTTCTCCACTTGTTTCAATTTGCTTCCTAAAAATATCAGGAGCTGTATAAACAAAATGTGTATAGAAATGATTTCAAGAATTGACAGCCACCATTTTGTTAGAAAACACTAATATAAAAGAGGGCTTTTTACGTGAAAGACAGAGCTTACCATGTGGATGTCTCAATGCAATACAGCCACACCTCATTACTATGGTGATACTTATCAACTACAAAATGAACTCCAGGAAAAGCCACCTCAGGACCATGCTGAAATGAAATAACAATATTATATTAATTTTGCTCATAATCATTTGACTGCAGTGTATATGGGGACATACTGCTGGATAGGGTATGGTTTTTGGCCCTGCCGCTGTGAACAGGTATTTTAAACTTTAATCAAGTCTGGACCTGGACCTGTCCTAAACAAAGTATGGCTGCAAGGCTGTTGCTGAGTTTTTAGTGATCAAAATTCGAAGAGGTTCATTTCTATTTATTCAGGAGGTCGTGAGTCAACATAAAGAGGTTTGTCCTTTTTTTCCCTAAACATGGTACATATCGTACGGTTTACAAACCTGCAGGGGTTCCCGAATACCCAGCATGGGTCTAGTACCACCTCCGGGGGACAACCGGGGGAAGCCGGGGATAAAATCTTAAAGTAATAACATAAACATGATGCTACAGCCGAGCATCTTCTAGCAAGCGCGAGATCTCTAACCTCTGGTGATCCTATAAAACGTAAGGTTAGAGTATCACCCGAAGAATGAATTTCTAGCCGCTTATTTTCAAAGTGATAATCGATACGTACACGATGGTAGCCTCCCCAGACCACTATATAGCCGTCATAATGAACCGCGACATGGCCACTTCTCTCTTCTGGTTTCCTCCCATTTATGGACGGGAATACGAAAGTCATTTTTTCGGTGGAAAGTGCATAAAAACACCCTAGCTAGCACATATTCCGACGTATATTGCGCGCGGTAGTAAATAATCCTTCTTTCCGTGGGTAGATTTTTTTTGTTTTGCCGCAATGCACGCTGGAATACGTTCTTGTGTTATCAGGTGAACGAAATACTTGAATGTGATTGGTGCGTTCAAATCTGGCTCGGAAATCGAACGAGTCTACAGGCGACGCGAACGAGAGATCAAAAGAAATAGACACGGACAGCAATCTTTCTTCAACTAAATATCCTTCTGCCCTTTTGAAACTGGTCAAGTAGAGTGAAAATCTTTACATTATAGTGGAAAGTAAATATGGTGAAGACGAAAGCGCCCCAGGAAAAGAACATTCAAGTGGTCGTACGGTGTCGGTGAGTTGCACACAAAGACGATGGCCGTGATAAATTTTGCTACGTTTTTCTCTTCTGTCAATCGTGCGATCGATTGAGCAAGAAAAGAGCTTAAGTTTAGAATATTTATGATTTTAGTCATTCAATTGCGTATCATTTCTAACTTTTCGGCGGGATGTACAGAGGGTTACAGTAGGGATAGTTTTTAATATGGGAATGTCGCTTTATGACCGGCGATATGAGGAAAAAATTAAATATGGCGAGTCAATCTTATAGTTCGAAAAATATTGCGACCTTCCTCTGAGAACTCAATTTGTGAAGAAACGCTGATCTGTGAATGGTAATGTAGTATTCTTTATTATTTCATTTAAGACGTGCCTCATGTACAGTTATGAAAGTGTGGTAATAGCAACCTTTAATTCATATAATCTGTTATCTCAAACCATATGTACCTGCAATGATTCATGTGATATGCATCCAAATTCCTGTCATGATATAAACTGTGCAGGGTGTTATGCCACTTAATGACATACTGTACACTGTAAACCTCATTGTGTGATTTCTTGTATTTTCCTTGACATAAGACCAAACTATAAAGTTTGCTTTTATTTTATAGACCTCGTAATTCAAAAGAAATCAAAGAAGGCTCGCCATCTGTGGTCAAATGCCAGCCATCCAAACGGGAAATTGTTGTTAAACATGACATTGGTAACACCACTTCTGTGTCAACAACAACAAAAACATTCACATTTGATCGAGTATTTGCCCCTGAAACTAAACAGATTGATGTTTATCGCTCTGTTGTGGTGCCAATTTTGGATGAAGTTTTGATGGGATACAACTGTACAATCTTTGCGTAAGTATGAAAGAATTACTAAGACAGTCGCTTCTACATGTAAATTATGTCATGTTGCAGGGCTGTGCAGTCATGCTCATGACCTTAAGTAACTGCTTGTGATTTGACAGCATTCATGTGTTATGAATGTTGTCAACAAATACTGTTCTTAATACTGTATAGAAGGGGGGGCCTAATCACTGTGACCAGCCAATCCCTAGACAGTAATTAATTGATTCCATAGCTGGCAATCCCCATGCATTTGTGATTCTGTACCACATCATTTATATCACTCGACAAGAGTAGCAGCAGTAACATCTTTCGTGTTATCATAGTTATGGCCAGACGGGAACAGGTAAAACATACACGATGGAAGGAGAGAGAAGTCAGGAAGATTGCTCTTGGGAGGAGGTATGTGATTTGACTGTGAAATCGTCACCACATCTGGACTTCAAAACCTGGCTTTGTTTATCTCTAAAGTGTTGTTAATTTTTACCATTGTTTACCTTAGGATCCTTCAGCTGGAATAATTCCACGCACCATGCATCAGTTGTTGGAAAAACTCAACAGCCAAACAGTGAGTTTATTTATCAAGTTACACACCTACATATGGCAGTGAAAATGCTGAAAGAATCATGGCAGCTTGGAGATGAAAGCAAAATAATAATTTAATCTCATGGTACTGGTATTATTGAAGGCTTCTTTTCACTAGCAATGGACTCAGAAAACTCAGAAGCATTGGGCATTATGATTTTGTGAAAACAGTGTTATGATTCCGCTTACCTGCTAGCAAAAGAACTGAGAATCAATCACAAATTGTTGGATCCTGCATGCAGCCTTGTGATCAGTTCACCCTTCCACTTTTGCCTCCAACTCCGACAAAAAAGGTTTTTACCATGAATCCTGTTGCTGAGGACTACTGAGTCATAAGAGGGGTCACTGAACAAAATGATGGATTTTGGCTACATGTAGGTCATAATAGCAGTGCTGTTTGTGACTCTGTTTTCTTTCGGGCTTTGTTACCTTGTTTAAAATAAAAATTATTATTGTAGGTCAAATTTAAGTGTACTGTTATTTTGACAGGCAATACAATTGATGTTAATTTGTGTTTCAGGATTGTGAATTCTCTGTCAGGGTGTCATTTTTAGAAATTTACAATGAAGAGCTCTTTGATTTACTGAGCCCAAGTTTGGACAATCAAAAAATGCGTCTTTTTGAGGATTCCACTCGCAAGGTAAGACTTGCAGGAACAATGATCAACGACTAGGGCTTTCCAAAAAGAATTCACCTGCAAAACCCTAGAGTTGTTCAAACACTAGTCAGCCCAGCCTCATATCCTGACAAATGTGTAACAGCAAGCACAGGGTATGAGTTGTCATTGCAACTAATCCCAACTAATCCCAGATAATACTGACAAAAAATTATTATTGTCAGTGCCAATGTTGTTCTTCTAATAATTTGGGTTAGGGTGCAACAAAAGTCATGTGACCCATTATTGCATTGCATTTGCATTTGGGCTAGTGGATTGTGTGCTTTACAATTACTAGCCCGACGGGCAAGTGAAAGTCTTCGGGGAAATTTTTCAAATGGCCACATAGAATTTCAGTCAAAAGTTACTCAATTCTGGTAAAAACCTGCAAACAAAAAATCTCGGGCTAGCTGAAATGGTGTTCGGGCGAGTACATGCTAGTTACAAGTTTCCTGGAGGGCGGGCTGTTAAAATGATTTTCATTGCACTGTGATTTGAGTCCCATTTTAGTTTATAGTTTGGTTCTTTTTGGCTAGATAAAGATCAGAAAACAGCTACACTATTAAACTTGAGTTAAAAGGCATTTTTTGGCAAAATTTCCTGTGGTGAATGGTTAAAGACAAATTGCTGGTTACTCTTGTCCTTTTGTTCTCACGGGACTGAGTACTCCATCCAGCCTAAACATTAATGCTGTTAACTGTGCATTTTAGGGTTCAGTCGTCATACAAGGACTAGAGGAACTGGTGGTCCATGATAAAGATGATGTGTATAATATTCTTGAGAGAGGCCGAGCTAAGAGGCAGACGGCTGCCACTCTAATGAATGCACATTCTAGGTAAAGTAATGACAATGAGGGACGGCATGTTTTAAACTCATCACCAATGTATAGGTTAAGTGCCTGGTCAAACTGAGACAGCTGCAGGCGAGTGTGGCAGGTAACAATTTTTTGGGCATTATAACCCTGTGAGAGGCAACCAACAGGTACCATCACACTGTCACACGGAGGTTCTCAGTGGAGAGAATTGCAGATACTTTTACAAGGGATGTCTAGAAGGAAGAGGGGACTGGTAGCAAAAACAGCTAATAAAAGTGACTAAACATTAAGGCAACATGATTGAAATGGTTGACCTCAGCAAAAGCACTGTCTGTAAAATTACAAGAGCCCTGCAAATGCCCAGAGACTGCCCTACATATGATTAATGATGGAGACTGCCAGCCAGCAGTGTCTCTTGTTTAACCTCTCCCAAATTACATTTATATAGCCACATCATACAGTAAAACTGAATTCGTTTAAGGTGAACCTAAAGGCATTCTCTGATTGTTTCTTTGAGCAGTTTACAATGTAAGATTTGACTCAGCCGTAATTTATGTACAGACCATACACAGAATAATCTGTTATGTGTCTTTTTTCCAGTCGTTCTCATTCACTGTTCTCGGTGACCATTCACATCAAAGAGAATTCTGTCAGTGGTGAAGAACTATTGAAAATTGGCAAATTGAATTTGGTAAGCCTTGATTGCCCTTGTTTACATGCAGAATTAAAATCTAACCTAATAGATGTTTGTAATTATAAATTACTTTTAGCTTGCTTTTGTGCAAGATTAAATGTATCAATACCACATTAATACTTTCTCTTTAAATAACTGGATGATTAGAAAAATCAAAATTCTTCAAAGACACTATCTTGCTACTCTGCAAAAGTGAAAGAGAAGTTGTAGAAAAAATGTGGATAACAATAGGACTTTGAGCAGAATAGATTTTACTCTAATCCTACAGAATACACTTGCAACTTGTTTGTCATTTTGTTCAGGTTGATTTAGCAGGAAGTGAGAATGTTGGCCGATCAGGTGCTGTGGACAAACGACTCAGAGAAGCTGGTAGGAAATTTTATGAATAGCTTGTTGATGTATTTAATTTTTCATCACATAACTCAGAGAGCTGCTGTGAAGGAGATTGACTGATCGAGGCAAAAAACTGAAACGTACAGTGCAGAGTCTTTAGCAAAGAGATTTGTTTTTTTTACATGCATTTATTGACAGGCACAATCAATCAGAGTTTGCTGACGCTTGGAAGAGTGATCACATCACTAGTAGAAAGAGCGCCTCACATACCTTACAGGTACTCCCTATGTAAACTTTAATTCAATACTTTCAATTTTATATGCATAAAAATGAATGTATAAATAAACTAGATTTAAAAACAGTGCTCTTGCAAGTATTTGTTCTAAGTGTTGAAAATATAATGAGCCATTTGAAAAAGCAAGTTTTTAGCATGGATCCAGATGTTATCTGTGATTTCAAACTCACTAACTGCCTAATAGCATGTTTAAAGATTTCAATGTTTATTATTATTTAACTGATTAGAAATAAAAAAAATTTCATTAAATGAAAATTTATCTTTTTGAATTTATCTTTTAATTACAGAGAAAGTAAACTTACCCGGCTGCTGCAAGATTCTCTTGGAGGACGAACAAAGACCTCAATAATTGCCACCATCTCACCAGCCCTTTGTAACTTGGAGGTGTGCTACAGAATTAGCTTCTAAGTTATGAAATTGTCTTTTTTCACAATACTTTAAGTTGCTTTATTTATATGCAGTGTGATTGTTATAGTAAAATTTTGACTAACTGTTTTGGGTTTATGTGTTATTGTTACAGGAAACACTCAGCACTCTTGACTATGCTCATAGAGCAAAGAACATCTTAAACAGACCTGAAGTCAACCAGAAGCTAACCAAGAAAACTCTGATCAAGGTAAACCATGATCTTCTGAATTCATTGGTCTCACAGTTTTGTTTTGACCATGAAATGGAATGCAGTGATTCTTAAAATAATATAAAATACCACTATTAAGACATGTCATGTCTAATATATACCCTCTTGAAAGACTGTATTTACAACGTGATCAGGGCTGCTACAGCCCTGTGTGATATTTGAACCCCTCTTTTTATGAAAACCACGCCTAACATAACCATATTCAGCAGACACATTTTCTCATGTTTTGGCACGTCTCATATATCAATGGAATGTAATGATGAGATAGATATGATTTTTGGATTTCAGGAGTACACTGAAGAAATTGAGAAGCTTAAAAAGGACCTCTTGGCTGCAAGAGAGAAAAATGGCATTTATATTGCTGAGGAAAATTACCAGTATGTTTTCTTTAATCAATGGGTTTATGACAATACATTAGACAGTATTATTTTTAAGTAAGTCAATAGTCTTCATCTCTCCAAAGTAGATAGCATCAGAGCAGGGCTGCAAATATGTTTTTTTTGAAAGGACATCATGTCCTACTAAGACACCATCTGGATCGGATAAAACAAATTTTTGGTCTGAAATCGCCACAAAAAAGGTTTGAACAAAAGCATCATGCCACCTTTTGGGTAAAACAGAAGATATACTATGCTAATGTAGAATTCCGGAAATTTCCGTGTGTACGTCAAATGGAACTGGGACCATTTCAGTTTTGTCCGACCAGAATATTCAAGACCAGCTTTGAAGGTGGTCTACGTTAACCGGTCCGGTTATCTCCGTCCGTCGGGCCGAAATGTCCCTTTCCATTTGACAAAATTGTTGTCCCCAGTACCGCTCTTTTGTATCCTGCTTACAAGAACAATAACCAAACGCGAGGAGGCTTGTGTCGGGTCTATAAAAATTCAAATTTTTGTTGAATGGAAACCGCCCACTATTTTGAAAAAAAAGGAGCAGTCTCCCAGATAAAAAAAGACGATATGAATCAATCTTTCTTTTATTTGATACAGTGCCATGCAGCAAGAAATCAAATCTCAACATGAGCTGATTGCTGAAAAAGAAGCTAAAATCACAGCTCTTGAGGACGAAATGAGAAAGTTAACCGACCTTTTTACAGACACACAACAAGAACTTGAAGAAAGATGCGTGGAGTTGGTTGAAAAAGAAACTCAGCTAAGCAAGACAAGTCTTAAACTGCAGCAAACTAAATGTACGCTTAAAACAACAGTCGCTAAAAGAGATGAGAATCAGTTCCTCGTGGATGAACATAGCAGAAACGAACGGAAATTGCATTCGCAAGCTGAAAACCTTCTGTCTGTTGTTAAAGACACGGTGTCTCATGTGGATGGACTTCACTCAAAACTTGATCGCAAGCATAGTGTTGAGGCTCACAACTCAAATGCTCGAAATTCGTTCGGAACTGACTGCAAGGGAATGGTTAAAGCAGTCATGAAGAATCTGAACCATTTCCAAGGAGAAAATGTCGTCTTCTTTGATGCAATGAAGAAAACATTAGGTAAGATGACATACTAAAACCGTGAAGAATTTATTGATGTCGTTCTCTCAAAGGCGTCAATAAAATTCGGTGGCTCGTACCGTATGGAATCAATCGCTGTAACTCACCATGGTTCGTAAGTCTTGAAAAGGTCTTGAATTTTACTAGTCATCTTGAAAAGTCCTTGAATTCGGTTTAGGTCCTTGAAAAGTACTTGATTTCTTTAGTAGGTCTTGGAAAGTCCTTGAAATTCACAACCATGTCTAAAAAATTAGATTAATTAGATTATTAAAATAAGATTATTTTGCCAAGGAAAATTTGGCTCATCCTTGGTGTAACAACCCGTAAAACTCAGGTGTAACGTAAAAGCGGTTGTGTTCATGAGCAATATTTTATTTCTGTTTCTTTATTTCAAATGTTGTTTCTGTACCTTAGATGCAATTGCAAGTCATACCCAGTCGTTGTGGAAAGTAGTATGAAATAATGTGATCAACGATGGCTGAAGAAGTACAAATCATAAATGACTCCATGACCTGTTTTAGCCAATAGGGTGATCAAAGGGGGTTAAAGAATGCCGATTTATTATTCCTTCAAAATCCTTGAAAAGTCCTTGAAATTCGTTTGTTTGAAGTTGTACGAACCATGCTCACTAAAAAATGGCAAAAGGTTATGGATAGGAATCCGGTCCGATCCTGGTTTTGTCAACGGTTTTTCACATGGTATTCGGAGACCATTTTGTGCCATAAAAACTTGAGAGAATTTTACCCTGTAAAATATAACTGAGTGTCCCGAAAATTTGTGGACAAATTCAAATGTTGATTTAAGATGTTTCCTTTTTGTTGTTGTTCTGGTTGTTTTATTGAACAGAGAACCTTGTTTCAAAGAAAAAAGAAGAATCCCAGAAACTTGAGCAACAAGTTCAAATGTTCACGGATAGCGTGGCTTCTCAAATGCAAGAAATCTCTTTCAGAGATCAGGTAGTTTTTACTGATTGTTTAATTAAGGTTCACGCTCTAAGTCTAAATAACCCTGTTTAGTAAATATATTTTTTTGCCTTTTTCTTATTGTTAACAGTGATGTTTACATGATGGTACGGGATAGTCACAGGTGTTTAAGGCATTTTGTTCTTTCATTTTTAGGAGCAAGTTGATGCTAACGCCACATTGTACAGCACCAGTTCCAGTATAAATCAAGATAAAAAGGTGCCATTACCGTTTGTGCATGTTTTTCTGGAGGCTGCTGTAAACTACCGTTGAATACTGAGATGACGAAGTTCTCAGGGACTCGTAAAATATGCTTGTTATGACGGGTATATCTTTTAGCCGGGTGTTTTTTAGGGCGAAGAGTGCGGTGCACGCCTTTGATGCTATCCTTGCGACCACACTCGCATGCGACCAGCTTTAGTTTAATACTAACAGCATTATGGAACCCCGTTTGAACCGTGACTTAAGCTGTGTGAAGAAGAGACCAGAAAAGGGCGCGGCTGTCTTTAAAAGGCGTTATTCGGCTAAAAGCTCTCGTATAGACGACTACTCTCGATAAAGTTTATGTTTTGGTCGCTTACTAAAGCTTTGATTCTATAATTAATCATTCCTGGGTCATTGTTATAATTTATTGGGTCACCTCTGAAGTTCTTAAACTAAGACATAAAATTCTAATGGTTTTGATGTTATATTTCCCAGGAGAACATTTCTTCAAGTTTAAATACACTAAGGAATGAGGAGTTTCTCCCAAAAATGAGAGCTCTTGAAAATTCCGTGCAGTCAATGACGAATTTTCAGGAGCAGCTTATGGTCTTCTTCACTGATAAGGTGAATGCTTAATTTTCTGCTGAACATATTTACATGTAAAAAGGCTGAATTTTGCCCTTTTGACCGGATTTACTATTACATGAGTTTTTGCAGTTCTTTTAATTTGATTTTACGATTTTATATAATGCACATTTCGCGCTTCTTTCAGAATTTCACTACAGCTGTACAAGCTAGTAAAGCTTAAAATTTCTCGTTTTTGAAAAATCGCGTAAGAATTTAAAACGAAAGGTACATTGTATTTTAAAGCTTCATTCTATTTTGCTGGTCGGATAAGCGTTCAAAATTTATTTTGCTTTCTAAAAATTCATAACGCTTTGTGATTTTTTAGATGAATCAGTTTTCTTCAATGGTCAAAACCTTTGTGGAGGGTCAGGGATCAATGATCGACAGTTTAGAAGAAATGATTGACAGGCAGTCTCAGGAACAGGTAAGTCAAATTTTGTTTGAATCTCTTTGGCGAAACCTTCTTTATGTACGTTGTACAATGCACCTTGAAACACAATAGGTGTAATGGGAACCAAAGAAGATTCGAAAACCGTGATAGGAAACATTAAGCGGCATCTATGTTATCCATTCACTAGCATTATTGTAAGTATCTCCAGTCTTTAAAAAGGTCTCGCATTTTTACAAGATTGCAGCGAAAGGTTTACCCGAAATATTAATAAAAATAACCGTTTAAAGTCAACTTTCTGTGAGACAGACATATTTGTAAAGGCCAATTACAAATTCCTGAGACTGTACATTCAACTTCCGTCACGTTTGGCATGTCACTGACATCATCGTTTTTTTTTCTATCCCAGCGAAAGCCATGCATTTACTTTTAAGTCAAAGTGATCGACACTCACTACCAGTTAAAATTAAACAGCTCGACCTTAATGCACTCAGAATGAAATAAATCCTTCATGCATTATTGAGATGTCTCTTTTTTTAAAGGCCCAAGCTTATGGAGACATCGTCACTCACACAGATTCTGTTATGACCAACCAGAAAGTCTTAATAAAGGTAATGCATGTGAAGTGCTCTTCCTTTGTGATTGCTAATAAATTGTAGCTTGCATGGAAATGCATAGTGTAGTTTCACAAGACTCGCACAATGGAAGTGAGCCTGCTCGCAGGCTATCCTCGATAAGTCATCGTTTATGAGCGGATTTTGTTTTCTATGTTTTCAAAGGAACTACAGCAGACGTTTTTCAAAGAAGTGATGTCATTATTTCAGGACCTGGTGGATCAACAGACTGATAAACTAACAACTGATACTGGAAAGGTGAATGGCAGAAAAACCGAACCCAAGTTGTACTATTTGTGTCAATATTCTTTTGATTCAAGCTGAATCTTGATCTACTTTACGTGTAGAACACTTCAAAATTCTCAAAAGTCCGAGCGTCAATTAAAAACAGAAACTATCCTCAGAAAATTGCCAGGCGGTGTGCGTCACGGCCCACAAAGGTTCATGGGTAAAACTGTTACTGTGCCTCATTTCAATCGTGACACGGTCGAGTTCGCGTCTCGTAAGAGAAATGAATCAAACCCAGGGATCAAAACACTGCTGCCTTTTCCGAAAAACATTACTGAAGAGAGCGATTTCGAGAATTTTCAAGAGCTCATAGTGGCCTTAGATGCTTGCTATTGGCTTCATAAGGCAATTTCAAGAAGTTTATCGCGATTCGGAGACGATCGTGCGATCGAGCCGACTTTGAGCGGCGACTAATTTCCTGCTTCTCCTAAGATTTTATGTACTGTTTGGTTTATATGTAGGTTTTTATCTCATAGTGAAAGAGATCTGTAGTTCATACCTGGATTTGCTTAACTAAAAAAAAATTCGTCCATTAGAAGTGTTTATATATTTGATGGACTTTGTTACCGGCATTAAGCAGGGGGAGCGCGTGCAAACAGCAAGGTGAGAAATCGTCTCTCATAACAATTTTATTTTCATCGACAAGTTTATATTATTTTGAAAACAGTGCCCGTTTGAAATCCTTATGCGCAAATAAATCTTCTATCAGGCAAGGGGAAAACAGACCGAAAGAGCCGAACAGCTGCAGCACAATCGGAATTTCACCGAAGCTACAGCCGCAGAAATAAACAGTGAAATAAACCACGATCTTGTCTGTGCGGTCATATTGAAGTGAGCGCAGTATATCGATCTTGTTATAAAGTAAAACCTAACCTCACAGTTTTAAAATCCTGTATGGTGTTGTCTGGATCTTCGATAATGGTTTTGTGTTTTGGTAAAGATTTATAACAATTTATTCCCTCACATAAATTTACACAAAGATTTGCATACACGTAGCACACACCGCATGCAAATTATTTTAAAGTCACGCTTTCAGTTTCCGCACTGGGTTATGAAAAATGTTTTTTTTCCAAAGGTTATTACAATATTCAAACTTATTTACCTTTTGTGCTTAAAATAGAGCAAACTCTTCCTGGATTTGGCGTTACTCGCTTCACGTGGGCTTCCGCTTCGGCATATTTTCTCAGCCCGTTTCCCGGGAGTTGTGCCATTTGGCTGAGACGATGTCTTAATTCCAAGACACTTTCAACGGCTCATAACGGGAAAACTAACAGGGGTAGACCCGGGTAGACCCCGAAATTTGCAAAGAAGAAAGGCTGAAGTAACAAGATGGCCAAAATAATTCGATAAAACCGCTAACAGTAACCAGCAATAAATCCAAGAAGAACGGCAAAAACAACACTCAAATCATCATGGCGGCCTGCACATGACCGAGCAATTCAAACTTGTCACAAACGCTCAAGAAAGCAAAATATTTAAAAGTAACGCAACTGCTCTCACGATGAAGTGTTCCAACAACTTTTCACGGCGGTATAGTGTCGAAATTACCAACACAAGCTTAAAATAAAGCGAAAATTTCACCACGTATACCTCTGAAAACAGCTCTTTCAGAGCGCGAAAAACACTCTACAAATGACGCATTCTGATTGGTCGAATCTCGTGACGCACACCGCCTGGAAAATTGCCGTAGTCAAGCAAATCATCGTCATTGTAATTGCATGCAAATTTTTCTCCCTTTTCGTTAGCCGAGGGTCCGCCATGTGTTCTTAACATGTGACCTGCAAACATTGTTCTGCTCATGCGCAATGCCGTCCAACTAATATTCTGCTCATGCGTGAATGAAACCACTCTTTTCTCCTTCTTGCGTCGCTTTGCGTGAAAATGGCAAAGTAGCAGATATTCATTTTTAAAAAAAACTCGGCGACCGAATTTAACTCGGTCTTCGCAAAATATCGTGATTTGTTACTAACTGGTAGATCACGATATTTTTGCTCGACCTCGTGCAGTAATTGTTAATCATGCATCGAACGACATTTAGATTCAAACCTGTCGTCGTCTGCATGAGTATTGTTTTACCATTTATGAACTACTTACCAATTTATGAACGCTGCGGTCGCCTCGGAAACAGCAGAAACCTTGTGAACTTTTCATATTCTTCTTATCATGCCATGACGGTGTAGAAACCATCCAAAATGGCACACAAAATCAGATTCAGTTTAAGAAGATACTTATTTTTTACGGTTACATTTTTCATTTTGAGCGGTTCTTAACATGATTTTTGTTTTTATGTTTACTGGTCGGAGTGGGATGTTTTTTATCTCCCGAAGAGAGATGTTTCCAAAGTTATTTTATATATATATGTTTTTATGAGTACTCAATTCTTTATTTCATTTAAAGCTGAAAGAAGTCACGACAGAAGCTCTTAAAGGTGCGGAATCAACACGTACAAATCTAAGAAGGTTAGAAGAAAGTTCGGATTTTTAAAGTTTATGGTTTATAAACTAGCAAAGTATCCATTCAATCTAACTTGGAATCTTGTTTTTATGTTAGTTACTGTGATTCTTTGAAGAATTGCGCCTCCCAGTTCTCTGAAAACTGCGTTCAAACTGTCAACGACAACAACAGTGAGGCACAATCCAAATTCCAACAGGTATGAAACATTTATGAAGTTAATAGTTAGTTAATAGTTTTTTGGGGTGATCATAGAAGTACGCGTGAATAGTAAAACGAAAGGTCTGGAGCGTGGAAGAAAACGGAGAGCTAGACTGTGGAGAGATGCTCGCACACTTCGCGGGTCTGACACTCGCACGCCGCATCGGCGCTTCGTGCGTTTTAAAAAACGATTTTGAAAACAAAAAACCGACTGTATTGTTGTCTATGGTTGAGAGAAGGAATGACTCTCTAAGATGTTAGTCGTTAAGAAGAATAAGCATGCTTTTACATACCAAAATTCTGAAAACTTGATGAGTTGTATTTACCCTAAATGTTTGATGGCCATTAAGAAAGCCTTATTTTTGGTTTCAGTTGTTAGGAGCTATGATATGATAGCACTATACATGTCCGCTGAATAAATATTATCGCCTGAATAGCGATTTATTATCATCCAACCTGTTGACAATGTAGTTCCATAATTTAAGCAGATTAACCTGATGTTGCAACTGCTTAACCCAAATGGCCTCGTCTAAACATGTATTTAACTAAGAGTATTGACGAGGTTTTCCTCTCTAGGGCGCGGAGCAGTTGCAGGCGACCGCAAATCTTCATAAAGAAGTCGAGGTGGATGTTGTTAATGCTTCTCACAAAGTTGACGAGGTATGTGAGAACTCAGTCCGGCAATGCTCCAAAAACTATTGCTTCTTTGGTTCACATGTATCAGATAGCCGCATAGGGTATCATGTTAAGATTGTTCGTTAAGATTGTTTCTCTTAGTTTCCGATCTTTTTTGTCTTTGTAGCTGGCTGGTCAGTGGAAAAACATGTTGAATGAATCCTTTACCCAGCACATGGACGCCATCAAGTCTTGTTCGACGAAGCAGCAGTGCTCTGTCAAGGTTTATTTGCGTGATATTCTTCTCCCTTACGTTAACCTGCGATCAGGCGATTTTTTTTATGGGGGGTGGGGGGGATACATAGTATTACATATAGTTTTTTTTTTCCTCCCCGCGCAAAAAAAAACAAAACAAAAAATCGCCTGATCGCAGGTTACCCTTACGTTTTCCTGGATTTTCTCGCTTCTGTTTATGCTTCTCTTCTTCGTTTTTCAACATTTCATCTCGTTGCTCAAATGAGATTCTCTATGTTGAGTCAAATCACAAACTGGGGGGACAAACACGAACTTTACTAGGCGCGAGTCTTTACTTACTTGTTTTCTGAATTTACTGTAAATGGGAAATTAGGCAAATGTGACAACTAATAACCCTGTCGATACGAGGAAAAATGTTTGTAAAATGTTTTTTCATTCGCTGGCTTACACACCGCGGCCACAGGGGCAACCTTTCAAACTGGCTACATAAAAACTGGCACCACTTCCTCTGCAGCTTTTGCTCTACTTACGATTTAGTCACTGAAATGTATCCGTCGCCAGTTAAAAGAAAATTGTTTGTATAGGTATGTAGAGAAGAAGTTCAACAACACCTGACTGACGTGCAGCATGCACTTAATTGCCATGGTAACACTCTAGATGAAATGGCGGCAACTCAAGAGACACAACTTACCAACCAATCAGAAGCTGTCAGCGCATGGGCATGTGACCAAAGCAAACGTATGGAGCAAGTTGATACCAGAGTCAACACGTTTTTGGTGGATGAACTTAAAGACGACCTTCCTACGGGTTTGTTTTACTTTTATTAGCCTTGTGAAGAATCAAGGAAAATGACTGAAAAAAGACAGGGACCAACCAATCAGGGACTGGGGGGGGCTTGCTTGTTTTTTTTTGGTTTGTTTGTTTGTTTTTCGGTTTTCGTCCCCTCCAATAATATTGCATTTCTAGAATCGTGGAAGTGAACAGTGTTCTATGAGGGACATAGCCACATCGTGCCCATCCCTTGTGTTCCCTCGTGCTTCTTAGCCTTAAGTTAACGACTGACATATTTTTACTCCAGGCTCCACGCCTCAGAGGTGCCCATTCAACTTCCCCACGAAGCTTGTAAGAACTGAACCTCATGACCAGCTAAGGCAAAGATTCTCAGCCAGTTATGAGATGCCATTTTCACCGGAGCCTGTACCTATCAAGGTATGTGTATCTTTTAATTTTCTGTTGTAAAAGATAACGGCTCCGTAAAATCCTTCCCCGTCCAGACATTTCAGCTGGCCATTTTGAGCAATTTTCTAATTTCACCGTTTTCTCTCACCCGGCAAAAGTGCTACCGTGGTCACTGGTTTCGTATCTTCTGAGAGACACACTGCGGAAGCTAATTTGATAGATGGCAGGGATAAAGAATATAAACCCACAAAAGGCGTTGCTTGTGAATGACCAAAGCGACATTATGCATTTACCATTTGTTTGGCAAAAAGCAGGTTGGTAAGAAAAGAGTCTTGCCATTCATTTTAAACCGAAAATATTGTGGTTGTCGCGAAAAGCGTGTCTAAATACGCCTTTATGAAAACTACAATAATATACTTCGTTGTCCCTCCAAAATTTTGCATAAGCATTGTTTTTAATCTCTCTTGGGACATACAATCATCCAACAGAAGGGACAAGAAATAGTATTATGGTATTTTTGAAAAAAAGGCGTATGGACAAACCATAGGCATCAAATAAAACATCAAATGAGACGACACATGTTTACCATTTCAAAGGCCAAATACTGGTCAGAATAGAAACATCCTCACCATTTATTTTCAACTTAAAATATTGTGACTGCCTCGAAAAGCGGGTCCAAATAGACCTGCCACAGGCAACGAATGAGCGAAGTTAAACTTTGCGGTAACAAAAATACCCCTAAGAAATTTTGCAAGGGCGGAATGTCAGGACACCAGCACTTATTTATCATTTTCCTCTGCAGAGTGTTTCAAGTGAAGAAGGAGTTCCAGTATTTGATTTGAGCCGTGGTAGCACTCGTAGCACCGTTAGTTCTGATAATGGCGTGTACCCGCTACATGCAAGTGAGAGCGATGCTCTTGTTCCTGATTATGACAGTCTTGAGGAAGGCGAATCTGCGGCAGATGAACCGGTGTTTGTTGAACCTCGGGTAAGAATAACTCCGCTTCATCTATTTACTTGATTATCAAAAGATTTTTTTGTGATTACTCTAGTGGTTCATTGCCATGCTTTGTGATTTTCCATTTTACGCACCATTTTATGCGCCATTATTTTATGCTCCAACTTGCTCTCCTTTTCCCGCGCCTCGCTTGACACCAGTTACCTATAATTCGAGTTGTGACTGGTTCATTTTGAATGTCCGCGTTTCATTTAAGGTCACAGTTAACTAGTTTGGTTTTTGTATTGAAAAAAAACAGTGCCAAAAACGGCGGTTTTCATTATCATGAACACTATACGTGACAGTTCGAAGCAAAAGTTCAACCCATGAATGAGTTAAAAAGGCCTGCTAAACAAAAAATTGAAGGGGAGAATTCGCTCACTTCTTGTTTTTATTTTTTTGCCAGCCTGTTACAGCTGCAGCCCGCGGTAAAGGCGTGTCAGCGAACACACCCAAAGATAAAGAGAATAGAGAGAGACCGCTGACTAAAGCTTCCAGTATTCCTAACCTTGCAGTCAGCAGCAAGATTCCATTAGTAAATAGATCCCAAACGCCAGTGGAACGAGTAAAGCGTCCTTTGAAAGCAATGAACACATAGTAAATGAACTGGAACTTCGTGCTTTTGCTTATCAGACCTAGATGTATATATAACAGTAACGAAAATGTTGATATGTGTTCATGTTCATCGGATTCGTCGAGCTTTTTATTTCGTGGGGTGGTCGTTGATCAAAGCTGTGTTCATTAACTGTACAAGAATGGATGATATTTAAATAAGGTCTTTAATTAACGTTATGGCTGCTTTTTACCGGTGGAACATACGCGGGTATGAAAGCAAAATGTAAAACTATTTACGCGACTGTGGTAGTTAGATGCCCTAGTCTGGTAACAAATGAATGTGAAGAACTGAAGTGAGGAAGGACCGTAGAATCTGTTTATTGTTTCTGTTAGTTTGATAAGGTAACACCTTGTACCTAGAACAATTCTGGGATCATCTATTGTGATAAAAATAACTTGCTATGTCGTGATTTACAAATGTTGGAACCACGTTTAATTACACACTATGTGCGGAGAGTACTGCAATATGCAAAGTAATCCTGGTTCATGTGAATAGGGAGATATGCAAAGGTCGCTAGTTATATAAAAAAAAGTTGCCAGGTTTTTCTTTTTTGAAAGCCTGATGAGGAGGTTAAAGACGAATTTACCGTAAAAAAGGGTGAACTACTGGTGGTTATAGAAGTTAAGTCTATGAATAGGAGGTACTATGCATTTTTAACGCCAGCAGAAGCTACGATCTGATTTTTTTTACGGCTGACCTTGCTAATTGTCACAGTGGTTAGTTGTAGCTTTCCTAGTGAAATGTCCCATTTTTGCCCTTGGAAGATCTCGCTTGTGCACCAAAATAGTTGCCTTGTCGGTAGGAATTTCTCCAGTCGGTAAAGCGCGAGAAAATAGGCAGCAAACAACAACAATTAGTTGAGAGCGAGAAAGGGAAGGATCGAAATTTTCACTAGCGCAATTCGCTGCAGACCCCTCAGATCAATTAGTTTGCTGGCTATAATCACTAGCCTGAGAGTACAGCTGTATTCGCAGGCTGTACAATCACATGCGATATTTTTTTATAGTTAAGTGATAACTTGTGCATAACCAACAGCGAAATTCTAATAAATCACAAGTATCACTGACTGTTGGTTTCGTGGCTTACCACGTTTCGTCTCTTTAGATTGAGTTATTTCTCCCTCGAGAAACTGGGACTCCCGCTCTGAGAATCAGGCTGGTTATGACTCATATATTCAGTTCAGTTAATTTTATTTCCTCACAACTTATTTGCTGATCTTAACTTGGAGCCTTTTCTTGATTGATATTACGGTTTGAGTATGTTGGCGAAGACAACAATTCAGTTTTCTGATTTGCACTCAACGTAAGCATGAAAGCGAGGCCTAAGGAAAACAAGAACGATTTGTGACTTAAGGATTAAAAATTAACCCCAATAGATAATTGAACGTGCGTTGAAAAGTGGACAGTGGGGAAACTAACCTTCGGCAGGAATCTTTCGGAAGTACATGAAACGTCAAGTCTCTCCTGTTATCGGAACGATTATTACAAAGCGCAGCATTTGTGAGAATTATTTTTCTTCGTAGTTGTAGGGTGCGCTTGTGCCATTTTATTAATTATACTACAGTCGAACCTCCCGTAAGCGACCACTCAAAATACGAAGACTGAGTGGTCGCTTACAAGATTTGAACCACAGGGAGTCTCTTCCGAGAAGAGGTCCAGACATGTCTACTTTAGCGAAGATTATTTTTTCGGGTGCAATGTCTAAGTTAGAATATTATGATAGTTCCATGTTGCCGCAGAAGTTCTTCGTATATTCTAAGTAACATAGTGTATAACCTGAGATCAGGCTCGCTTTTTGTTTCGCTTTGTAAACAGCATTCCGGCAGGCTAGCTGTAGCTGTTAGAGAGAATGTATGAGAACCGCTAAAATTGGGCCTGATCTCAGGTTATATAGTGTACACAGCAAAAATAGAGATCATAAAATACGTCAAGTGGTCGCTTACGAGAGGTTAAAAACAATGGAAAATCATAAACCGTCAGGTCCAAAAAGTGGTAAGGTAAGGTAATCTTTATTTATGCACAGTGATACAAATTCATCAGACTCCTAATATTAAAAAAATTTAAAAACCTTAATTACATTTGCTGGGTTCCACTAAATACGGTATTAAAATTATTCAATTAAGTATATACGAAAAAAAGCCTGTTTTCCATGAATGCCGTGCCTTACTTGATATTATAATAGGGTTGGGTTAACCCTAACCCTAATTACATGAGGTAGTCGTTTACTTGAGGTTTCAACAGTAAAGGTTTTGACTGGGAAAATTTTGTTGTTTTGGATTGGCGGTCGCTAATGAGAGGCGGTCGCACATGAAAGTTCGACTGTAAATTTCCTTTAAATACAGGCGAGAAGTCATAAATTGCAAAAAATAGTATTTTTTCTAAAATATTAAAGATGTGAGAGACGTAAAACGGGAAAGTTTTAGGAAGGAGTGAGTTTAAACTGAGAACTAATGATGTTTGGTTGCAATAGGCTTACTTGATCTAAGGTTTTTCTTTAATTTAGAGTGGGGGGTGAAGGTTCTTTGTTTGAAGCAATCATATTAGCCAGCGTGCATAGCAAGCGTTTCCGCTCGAGTTATTTCGAGTTGGAGCGTGATCAAAAGAAATGGAAAGAAGCGAACGCATTTTTCAGAATCATTGAATTTGCTGGGAGGCGTTTCCTTTTCCGCCTCCACTTTCATTCCTCTCTTTTTGCTCTTGTTCCAACTTTACTCGACGAACTTGCGGGGAAAAGCTTTTACGCAGGCTAAAGCCATCTGATTATTTGGCGCCGAAAGACGACAGAGTCCAATCCTACCTCTCAAACGTGACAAGCCGCCACAACGATAAACAAGTATGTTAATATCAGTTTAATATGCTTTCATGATTATTTTTTGACTGAATTACACCATGTCGTGCTAGAATCGTGTAGACGTCGAACAAGCCAAGAACGGCAGAAGCAACACGTTTGAAACTGGCCTTAGAGGAAATTAAAAATCTCGAATTCCCACCTTTACGTTGTCGGCAATTTAGTGTTGGTCCAATAAAAACCTCATTTTGTAAGCCAAGCTGATTTTGAAAAGTATATTTCTGTCCTCTAAAAGTCTTTAGAAAATAAGACCCTTGAACTATTGTACATTATTAACTACGATTGAACTTTCACTCTACTTTCAGTTGCGGCCATACGTAACCATTGGTACAGCAAGAATGGTGCAGTGGTGAGAATACTTCTTCTCCCACCGATGTGTGGCCTGGGTTCGAGTTCTCGTGTTCAAGCTATATATTTGTTGAATAGGTTGAGGGTGTTTTGCTCCGAGACAGAGCAAACTTGTGTCGCAACAAAACTGCGAAAAAAGCTGGGATAGAAATTGCTATGCAAGATTTTGTTCAGTGGAAACTATTCTTTGGCCACATGAATTCAAATTTGTGTGGGAGACCTTGCTGTCATCATGCTCTGGTTTTTCGATCAAACAGCCATCGCTTGGGTGCTTGCCAGTACCAGTCTAGTGTCTGTACTAACCTCCATTCCCTCATCTTTTTCCACCATACCGAGCGTTGAATCCAGTACTTGATCTTTCCGAGCAGGTTAAGCCAATTGTCGAACCAAATTAGCCTCAGAAACATAATCAGAATAAGATGCGAAGGTCCAAATGTGTCTTCCATCTGTAATCTTAGGTGGTCTATTGCCCATGCTTCCTTATCTGGCTCATTAAGCCGAAAAGAGCAGCCGTCGTACGGTGCGAAGACAGCCAGTCGCCATGCCCGCGGATTGCGCCAAAACAGCCTCCAGTAGTCTGGCTTGATCCCACAAAGGCTTCCAATATCATCGATGTATGTGTATGCTTCCACCAGCGTACCTAGCCTTCGGGAAGAATCTTTAAAGTAGTCGTCCCAGAAATCGTTGTCTTTTAAGGTTGACAGATAACGCTGTTCTCGCGATGGAAGATCGCACTTTCCCGAAAACACTTTTCCGATAAATCGCGATTGGATCTCCGCAATTCCTGAGATCGAACCAACCACTGGCCGAACGTAGCCAACAAATGCTAACGTTGGGTCGTCCACGTTAAAGATGAACTTGTAATTTTGCGTCAAAGGTACGGCTTGAAACTTTGAGGGAAGGAGCGGGAATTCAGTTTTGAAGCCAGTACACTGGATGATCACATCTACACTTTCTTCCGTGCCATCACAGAATACAATTCTTTTGCCTTTGATGTTCTCAATGGCACCCTTTGGTACACAGCGCTGATAGTCCACTCTGTCCAACACATGACCATTTTTGTTGATGAAAAATCGGAAAAAATTGGCATCATTTTTCCATTCTGCAATGCCGTGACCTTGATAAGCAAGTAAGGAGCCATTTGTTGTCCAACTGCAAATCCAAGAGAGCCCTACAAAGGAAAAAAAAAAA